GACCCGTGGCATGCAGACAACCAGTGATCACGCAGCTGCAGCTTCTGAGGCGCCTGTCATGATTTCACCGAGGATGATTCGTACAATAACTTTTCCTACCCTCACTCCCTCCGTAGTTTTCCTATGCAGGCCTGGTTTTACCACAGCTTTCCACCAACATGCCCACCATCATCTTCGGACATTGGCTCAGCTTACTCCGCAGACCAACACGCTCAGTTTCACTTCGCACAACGAAAAAAACAGCGCGTTTCAGTGGACAGTCAGACACTAACCATGGTTTTGGATCCACATGGAAAACCTCTCTTGTTTTTTGCCGCATTCCTGTTTTCTCAGCTGTTTTCGGGGTTTTTCCTCTTTTGGCCCCTCCGTTTCCGACAGCATGACTGTTTTAACGCCACTGTTGCTCCCTCATTTGACTTTCCCCGACCTGTTCTCGCATGTTCAGCTTGCTCAAATCAACAACCGGTGCTCCACGCCCACGATCCAGTGATACTTCGCCCAGCCACCATGGACGCGCAGTGGCAGCAATACTACTGGAATCATTATTTGATGCAGCAACATCATCAGCAGCTCACCAACCCAGATACCACAACTTCTCCTCCCACCACCGCACACCACGCCTACAGCCCCACAGGCACCTACGGCCCACTCACTCACGCACTTCGTACACACCACGTCCACCACTCCAACCCGTATGTGACTCCACCGTACACACCGCCATCGCAGCATACACCCCCACCCCAGGCATCCACCTCACAGCCGGAGTTTCCACCTCCGCCACCGCCACCCCTGCCAACGGCCGAACCCGTCACTCCACCACCATCGACTTTCCAACACAGCCCACCGCCACCACCCACCACACGTGGCAACACAGCGCCTGCCCCACCACCCCCACACATCCCATCCCCCACACCACCTGTTCCCGACTCCTGGAACCCAACCGAGCAACATTGGGACTCCAACACCCTGCACGGCCACCAACTACATCGTACAATCCAACCCACCCAGTGGTCTCGAAAAGCAGGTGTGGCAGGACTCCCCACCTTTGAGGTTTTCCCGTGGCAATTGGCTTACCACGGTACCTCCGAGTTCACCGCCCGTACCCTGAGCAACGGCAAATTCACAGGTTTTATTGCCACCGACCCATTTTCTCCAACAACTCCGTGAGAACCGCCTTGACCTTGACGGCATCGCGGAGGCCCTCCACACCCAACAGAGCACAGACATTCCCAACAAAACCACCCATGCCCGAGCGTTTCACGCTCCCCTCATCAAACTGCTTATTGACCAACTGCAAACCCACTCTCCAGCACCTGCGGAAGGCTCCGCTCTACGCGCCCTCAAAAACACCAACGACGAACTGGCTCGTGCACGTCAGAAACTCCAAGACCTGGGCAACCCACTCACACCAGTCAAGAACACCAGCCGATCTTCCGCACCAGCCGCCCCATCTCACGCACCCACTCCACCACCACCGAAACCACCAGCCCTCACCGACGTCTTGCAACCACCACACCCCACGCTGCAAGACGATATCCCCGAAGGCTGGAACCACCCAGAGATCCAACAATGGGTCACTACTTTCGACCCCACCATCCAAGAAGCTGCGAAGGACGTCATCCGTCTGCTGCAAACAAGCAAAGTCACCACGCAGCAGCTAAAAGAAGCAGCCACCAAGTATGGCCTACCCCTCAACCGGGTCAACCGACTCCCCATTCGCAGCCTACAACAGCTGGTGGGAGTTGGAGCAGCCATCGGTTGCTGACTCGCCATTCTGGCCCAGCAGCAACCCAGCCACACCAACCTCACCCAACTCTTCCACCTGCACAGAGCACTTTCTATCCTCATCCACCGCGCCCAATACATCGACCGTGCCGAGGCCATCTTTGCAACCGGCCTTCTCCATATCACCCTCCTTTTCGCATACCCTTCCAACACCCGTCGCTCACAACAATGGCGCAACCGCCTCCGCCAGCTCCACATTTTGCCCCACACCTACCACTACCACAACTTCCTCTCCTCCAATTCAGTCTACATCAAGCTCCACTTCAATCCCGACCAGCCCCAACGCTGCTACCATCAGCATGGCCACTTCTATGTTGGCTCCACAGCTATTGGCATCCCCCACCGCGAGCATAATCGCCGCGCCAAACTCAAACAACTCCAAAATAACATTCCCATTTCTGCAGAACTCTCCCTACGTTATTGGCATTCACATAACAACATCCACCACTACACCACTATTCAACTTACCTCCCATGACACATACGACCAAGCCTGGATCCAAGAGCACCATTACATCGCAAACTGGATGCCTCCGCTCAACTGGCCTTTCATTTCCCACCACCTCAAACTCAAAGCTCAGGGATGGCAGTTCGCGAAACACAGAGCCCACTTCTACTCCAGATTAGCCACCCACAAACGACTTTTCCGACGCCTTCGACAACGCCAGTACACCCTCAGAGAACCACACCTCTACACCTCCACTAAGCATCACGCCCTCCAACTTCTTCGCAACCTTACCAAACACACCGCAGCCTCCTTTGAAGCAGCTAAGGAGCTACGAAGCGGACGCCACACGGACCTCGAAGTCTATGCAATCCGGCGCATGGCCGCAAACCTGGAAGAACCCGGCCGCAGCCGAGCCCTCCACATCCTCAACAAAGCCTTGATCTACCGCAACCTCACGCCACCAAAACCAAACATCCCACTGACAGTGCCCTTCTTGGCCCATGACGACTTTACCAAGCACTGCCAACAGTGGCTTCGTACTACCATCCAGCAGCACAAGCATTTCACCATTCCCCTCCACCTCCCCTCCCACAGACTGCGAGAAGCCGCCCACAAAACCCTCCGCTCTCACCTGCACAACCACCGCACATGGGAAGACACCCTCCACTCCCCACCAGATCCAGCAGACCTTCCCTGTGCATGCGATCACCTGCGCACCCTCTTGCAGGATCCCGATACCCCTACCATCAACGGCCACTACATCCTTACACTTGACCAACTCCAACTCCCTACACACCTCGGCATTTTTCTCAACGCCAATATGAACAGCACCTATTACCCAAGCAAAGCTCGCTACTTCCTCATTTTCAAGACGGCCTACACCAAATGGCTCAAACTACAAGGGCTTCCACCATCCCTTGTTCAGCATCTACAACCCTTCCTTGAGCACCAATGGCGCCTTCATAACACACACCTCAAGCAGCAACCCCGTTTTACGGCCCGCCTGCTTCGTCAACTGCAAGAACATTTGGGCAAACACACATTACTCCACCACGCCGATCATGAGCTCCAACAACTTCGGCTGTTTTGCCCTCGACAATACTTCACTGGAGCCTTGAACACCTGGCAATCCCCCGAACTTTTCGAACCACTTCCCTACATCACTGCCGCCAACATCCACGACCACCTGGCCGCCACAGTCCCCTCCATCCTGCGCACCCGCTACAAGTGGGGCTTCCGAAAAGACTTCAACATCCCCTACGGGGTTGTCCACCTCAAAGAGAAGAAGCACTGGCAAAAAGGCCGTACAATCATATCATACTTCCAATCACTAAGTGGCAACCTGCTACGCATCACCAGCCGTGCCCTTGACATTATCCTCCAACACCTCTACCCTCAACATCCAGGCCAAATGTCCATTCCCCAGCTTTGGCACCACTTTCACAGTTACCTCACCCAAACCCCACCAGACATCTCACTACACGCCACCAACGATGACCTGGTCGGCTTTTTCAACTCCGTCCCCCAGCACCGACTCATCGATGCAGTCCACTCCCTCGTCCACCACTGGCAACAACAGCAATCCACACACACCCTAACGGTGGATGTCCAGGCCACCGGCAATCCTTCCACCACTCACACATTGGCAGACACCATCGGAAACACCCTACTCAACGCACCATCCAGACTTCCGACATCACCACCATCGTGGCTTTCGCCCTCAACACATGCATTTTCCGGGCTTGCAACAACACTTACAAACAAATCCGAGGAGCCGGGATTGGATCCCAGCTCTCTCCAGCCCTATGCAACGTTGCCATCACTCTCATTGAGCACTCCTGGCATCAGATCCACAACAACCTCCTTCAACACACAGACCTCCACTTTACTTACTATCGCTATGTCGACAACCGCTTCATTGTCCACAACGAACATTTCCTTCAACACCCGGCTATCCAAACCCTTATCCACCACAATTTCTTTGGCGACCCTGTGGAACTAGAACCGGTGGAGGATTTCCATCTCCTCGGTTTCAACATCGACCTCCCACAACGCACCATCAACTACATGCAACCTTCTCAACCCTGGAAAATCCGGGATTCCACCATTGCCGGCAGCCAGCGCTTGGCTCTATCAGGCCTCCAATCACGACTTCACACCATTCGAAAATACACATTTCCACCCTCCAGCGCTGACGCTGCCGCGGCTGAACTTGTGAATCTATATGTCCAAAAGGGGCATAACTATCACGCCTGCCACCGGTTTTTGAAAAAAGCGCCGAACGCGGCGACCTGTGTGTGTCAAACCCTGGACAAAGGGTTTTCCACCACCACTCTTTCTACCCTACATGAGCAGGGGGGCAGAGAGGACTTGCAAGGCTCTGCCCAACGAAGCTCCTTGCAAGATCCTAGGATGCGGAAGCTGATCACTTCCGTGTACCTGCTCGTTCTTTCACAAGCTGTTACTCCACTTTTCCACTTTTTGTTTCATGGTTCTTCACGATTTCCACCCCATAAACATTCGTCCCCAGCAGCTGTGCAGCCGGTTCGCGTTTCCGCCGCTTGCGAGTGCCAACATTGTTCAACACTACTGTTTAAGCTGACCTTTCCACCTTGCTGTTCCATCGCCTTCCTTCCCAACGAGACAATTGCGTTAACTGAAAACCCAAGTTCGAAGTGTGTATGTGTGACAAGTGCTTCCCACGCTCTCGCACTGGGATTCTGAATGTGCCACGGTTGCAAAATCAATGTTCTTTGCTGCCAAATGGCAGCAGCTCCCGACAAAGGCGAAAAAGGATTTAGTGGTGTTCCTTGTGCGCTGCCAAGCTTGGTCACTACCTCGAAGCCATGATGACGTAAGTACTCATTCGTGCTCATGATTTGCGTTCTATGCTAATTCGTCTCTTCTATCTCCGTGCAGCTCCCTGCCTTGGCTTCAAGGTCAAAGCATGCAACAGGGCCTTCGCAAAGACCAAAAGGTCCAGTCTTTGACTCCTCTGCCAAGGGCTGCAGCGATATGCGGGCATCGGTCAACATGTTCTTGACCTGGACTGTTTCGCTCAATCCAAATTTGAGTGAATGTAAAGTTAAAAAGTAATAATTCAATCAATCCGGGAAACCCACGCTCTGGGTTCCACGGAAGGCTACAACAATGGAGACTTCTTCGGCGCTTCTGTCTTCCGTACCTTTGGATTGTCGAATGATGTATGAGCGGCGTCTGAAATGACTTTTGCGAGCTGATTTGGTTCGCACTTCCTGAAGAACTTTGCGACACACCAGGCACTCCATCCTGCACCTCGATTGATCATTTACGTCGGTATTGACATTGAGGCACACAACAGCTTCAACACGCCCTCTAAGCAAATAATACCAGTATCAACCCTTGTCCTCGCTGGTCAGGTTTCCCATCTGTTCTGCCAACCTGAGTTATACTTCTGCGAGGAATTGCGAGGACCTGATCCTGAAATTCTTTTTCATTGACTCTCTGTATCTACATTATTTGCACTTGCCTCTGGCAGAATTGCTAGGCAAATGCGTTCAAAGAGATACATCCAACGTGGGGGTATAATATACATAATTGTATACTCACCTTGAACCTGGCCTGATCCCCGCTCCTCTCTTCTGATCTCAAACAATTCGATCAACAAAAATAAACCATCAAAAATATCGAAACCACGATGGTTGGACAATTCACCTGCGGCACAAAGGTCCTGTAGATGAAAAGTCGTTGGGAACATGTCTCAAGTTTGCCTGGGACCCACAAATGCGTTCAAAGGGAACGGCACGTAAACAATAAATGTTTGAAAGCAACAGTTCCTGATGCCTGAGTCACATGCGAAAAATGAAGGGATATATGTCATGAGATGTCATGAGGGTAATATCAAATTTGAAACACTGCATCACTGATGCATTCATAGCCACATACCTGGACAAAGCGGTGGATAAAGAAAAAGCCGTGTGGCCCAGCAGCCCACAAGGCCTAGACAAGGCTGTGGAAAAAGGGCCGACAACGTGGACAAGCAGGACAAGCAGACCCGAACAAGGCCCAGCCAAGCAGGACACACAAAGCCGGACAAGGCGGCGCGGCCAACGGAACAGACAAAGCCTGGACTGGACAGTGACAACGTAAACTGTTTTGGGAACAAGAGGAGAACACAGGGTTTGCCAGTGCGGCCAAAGAACAGCAGGAGGACACCAAGAGGACAAGAAGGGGGCACAGGGCTAGACAAGAAGAGGGCAACAGGAGGACACCACCTGGACACAAGGTTTAAGGGCGTGGCCAGAGACTGTGGCCAGTACTTTCGTAAGGGAACCCCAACAGCAAACTGTTTGGGGAACAACTGCAAGCACCAGGAGGACAAGAAGAAGACACCAGGAAGACAAGAAAAGGACATCAGAAGGACACCACGAGAACGAGAGGAGGACAAGAAGCGGACACCAGGAGGACAAGAGGAGGACAAGACCCGGACACAGGGTTCCGGGGCGTGGCCAGAGACTGTGGCCAGATCTTCTTTTCCTAAGAGAGAAACAAAGTCCACTTTGTACTTGCTCCTAGTAAGGCCAGGAGCCCCTAGTAGCGTCCTTGCTCCTAGTAGCGATCCCCTTTGCTCCTAGTAGCTTCTTTTCCAAACAGCAAACTGTTTGGGGTACGGTACTAAGCTTGTCTTTTCTCTCCACCGGCCCAACAGGCTCAACGGACCCGACGTGCGACTACCAGCCAAGAAGCAACCACTGCACGTCAAGCAAGGGGCAGCCGCCAGAAACAGAATGATGCCGTTTTGCTTCACCAGGACCCGTGGTTATCTTCCTAAGGCAAATAGACTCAGGAAAGATGTGGGCAAATCTATCGGGGTGTCAAGCGTCCGTGCCAAGGAACAGCTTTGCATTGGAAACTGTGCAATCTTTCTCTTCACCTTCCTCACAGGATTTCAAGCCCAAGCGATCAAAGTGCACGTTGCCCAAAGCTGCAATGTTTATGAAGGTCCCAAGCAGCACAAGTCCTTGAAGCCCATCTCACTCCAAACACCTTGAACCTGAACACTTTAGGAAAAGGAAAATTATATCTGATTACAGCGACTACAGGACACTACACGACTACACCGTACCTGCGTCGGTGTTTCTGCACTTTCAGCTTCAGCATAGACCCACCTAGAAGGTCATTTCTTACGTCGGAAGCAATTTCTGACTGTGGGGAGCACCGCTCATCAGAAGAAGTCGACGACGCGGACGAAGTGCTCTTTGTCACCACCTCAACGAGTGAAATCACTGGGCCAGCTGAGCTGAGCCCACAGGGCCTACATATGCCCACATGGCATGACAAATTGCGCCTCCCACACACCGTCAGTGTTCTGGAGAAAGGCCTCAAGAGTTGGTGCGCTCTAGCGCATCGTGATTCTCAACAGCCACTTGCCTGTCGCTCCATGTGTTGTGGCAGGTCTCGCTTGTAGATGGGGAAATCATTCTGGTCACGGCCTTCCTGCACGGCTTGCTGCAAGAAATATGAGCGAAGGAAGGAATGTGATCCTGCTGCAATCCTAGAAAGTAGCTGAATGACCTTACGATAATAGCCTACACCGACACATATTCTCTTGGAGATATGGCCATCTTCCTCACCCTGGCCAAACAGTGCTCCTGTGTGTATTCACCGTTCAACTCTGGATGACCGCAACCGGAGATGACAACAACAGCTGGTACAGGTGCCCCTTGGTAGGTCTCCTCAGGAAGTTTTGGCTGCCAGCAACATGCATTATTCTAATAGCAATGGCCTCCAACCTAGAAGCGATGGCCTCCACCCCAATAGCGATGGCCTCCACCCTAATCGCGAAGTGCTCCACCCTAATAGCGATGGCCATTGCTTCCACGCATTTTAATCTGCAGTGGTCTCATTACGAGTATGTCACTATGTCTCATTCAGCCCAGGTTCCCAGGAAAAGTCGCACAGGTGGAGCGCTAGCAGAACATCAAATTGTTCTCTCGTAGATCTTTCCATTTCATGTTCCTCCACCTTGGCTTGTTCATTCACTTCGGCCATCTTGAACAAGGCAATGCCCTGAGGATGGAACCGGTGTGGGAGCTGGACGCAATGAGAGAGCAATCAAGAGTATCAAGCCACATCGAACCAGCAAGGCCCATGTTGCCAAAAATGCCAATGGATAGCCTGCCATGGTAGCTCGGAAAGGTTTGCAACTTGCCGCAGCTGCAGTCGTGCCTAAAGGCAAGTTCATGATGAGAAGGAAGGGCGGCCGCGTGAGCAGGTAGAAGAGAAGGTATCGAAGCCTCTCCCGACCTTCTTGGAGCATTGTCCGGTTTCATGTAAGTCACATTTCTATACATGTCCATATGCTTGGACATTTGCATTGACATGACATGAACTAAGACGCTGTGTAACAAAAGTGTTTGAAAACTATATAGGTTGTCACACAAACTTGTAGTTTCCCAACAATCTACGAAAAGGATCGAAAAGGTTTGATACAGGATCGTTTGATCAAAAGGAGTTTCTCCCACCCTCGAGCAGAAGAAACTTACAAGTTCCAAGAATCCTTGCTGCATCCGTGCTTCCTTCTTTTTGTGTGTGTGTGTTTTGTTTGTTCGCCCGTACTTACTTGATTAAGTAGGCAGCTACATAATTAAGTAAGGGCTAGCCGCGACTACCTACTGGAAGCAGGATAGCTCGTGCACAATTCATTTGGTTCCTAGATGTTTATGTAGGAAAAAAGGTAGCGTCTACTACGAAGTCTTACAAAGCCAACTACTACAGTAAGTACTAGACTAGCATAGTCTTACAGTACTACTAGCGAAACCACCCCTCCAGTCTTCACTTCCTACCCGTCTAGACCCCGGCCTGGCGTGCAAGGAAGGTTTTCCAAACAAACCCATTCATCGCGGCAACAAAAGCAGCAGCACTGGCAGTGCCGAGCGCACTTCCTCGAGGCGAGTCCAGTGGACGAAAGAATAGGTGCAGATGGACGCTGCTCCTGAAGACTCGTGTGACACAATATACAAAGAGTATGACGCGAGCAGAATAGCCTCACCGCCAAAGAAGGCACAATCTGACACCACAAGCAACATAAACTGGAAACACTGCTGCCACCATCAACGTCAGGACAGAACCTACAGTTACCTACACAGTCTACAAAGTGTGAGAGATGCCCCCGTGCTTTCAGTTCTTGCAAGCTCTTGTAATCTTGTAGACAAATTGTCCGGCCTAGAAAGAAAGGAATATCATCAACACTAAGCTGCCTGGCCAGCAGGTATCGTCTCGCAGCGAGCCAGAGACAGAAAATAGCAAGTTCTTCAATGTGTCAAATACCCGAGCATTCGGCTGATCATCCCCAACCCACCATGTGAAGCTCCACAGCAAGACGAGCAGGCTGTAGCTCCAGCCTCTTCCAATCTACCAGGGGCTCATTCTCAATCTGTCAATCTTATCTGGTGCTCGAAGCAAGAAGCTATCAGGAACAATTGCATCGCTACTAGTAACAAGTGCCTTACTACTAGTAACAAGAAGCTACTAGTAACAAGTGCCTTACTAGTAGTAACAAGAAGCTATTAGAAACAAGTGCCTTACTACTAGTAACAAGAAGCTACTAGTAACTTACTAGTAGTAACAAGAAGCTATTAGAAACAAGTGCCTAACTACTAGGAGCAAGAAGCTACTAGGGGCTCCTGGCCTTACTAGTAGTAACAAGAAGCTAGTAGAAACAATAAGCTATCAGGAACAAGTGCATCGCTACTAGTATTAGTAACAAGTGCCTTACTACTAGTAACAAGAAGCTACTAGGGGCACCTGGCCTTACTAGTAGTAACAAGAAGCTAGTAGAAACAATAAGCTATTAGGAACAAGTGCATCGCTACTAGTAACAAGTGCCTTACTACTAGTAACAAGAAGCTACTAGGGGCTCCTGGCCTTACTAGTAGTAACAAGAAGCTAGTAGAAACAATAAGCTATTAGGAACAAGTGCATCGCTACTAGTAACAAGTGCCTTACTACTAGTAACAAGAAGCTACTAGGGGCTCCTGGCCTTACTAGTAGTAACAAGAAGCTAGTAGAAACAATAAGCTATTTGGAACAAGTGCATCGCTACTAGTAACAAGTGCCTTACTACTAGTAACAGAAGCTACTAGGGGCTCCTGGCCTTACTAGTAGTAACAAGAAGCTAGTAGAAACAATAAGCTATTAGGAACAAGTGCATCGCTACTAGTAACAAGTGCCTTACTACTAGTAACAAGAAGCTACTAGGGGCTCCTGGCCTTGCTGGTAGTAACAAGAAGCTAGTAGAAACAATAAGCTATTAGGAACAAGTGCATCGTGCGCTACTAGTAACAAGTGCCTTACTACTAGTAACAAGAAGCTACTAGGGGCTCCTGGCCTTACTAGTAGTAACAAGAAGCTA